AATTAAAAAAAAAAGAAAAAATAATCTCTTCTTCACAATGTGGTTAAAACAAGATTATGTTCTTTACTCCTTTGGGCTTAACTCTGGTTTCATCCATTTTCTCAGCATGGAAATACTAGGGCGCTGCTAAACTCTAAATTATTGCTTCTACAGAACCAGATACAGTTAAGTAGCAGGACGGGTGTGAAGACAGTTTATTTTTAGGATTTGTATATCTAAAGCTTTGCATTATTCAAGGGATTAGATAATAGCAACATTTTAAAATTCTATTAGACCTCAATGTTAAATATGCTGACTCACTTCTTAAAAGTGATGAATTTGAGACATGCTGTACCCACCCAAATTCCAGCAGAATATTTCCTGTATGTGGATCCCAGATATATACACGCGTATCATAAGATGCAGTAGCCAGTAATGCTCCATCAGGAGAAAAGTCACAAGCTACAACATCATGGTGATGTCCTTCTAGTTTCCGAATCATGGTATATTTGTCCATATCCCAAAGTAAAACCTGCAATAAAAAGATAATGTTATAGCTTCACTCAAGCACACAGAGAATAATACATTTTAAACTAAACTTGCTAAATTTAATTGATATTAAATTAAACATCATAAATTATGAGTAATTAAAAGAAAATGCTCAGTGTCATAGATTAAAATTCACTTTTAAGTTAATTAAAGTGGACATGCAAATATTATTTCAAAAGTTCTGTTAAATGTTAAAAGAATAAAGCCTAAACACAAAATAAAGGCAATGCAATTTAACCAGTTGTACTGGAATCCATTTATTCCCCAAAAACTAATTAAAACATATAAAAATAAATAAGGTTAAGTACTACAAACCCCCATTTTCTCCTTTTTTCCAGAAACTACCAAATTTTTTAAAAATATACAGACAGAAAATATAAGGTTAACAAATTGTTACTCCATTGGCATCTCCCTTTGAGATAATCACTTGTTTACAATAGGCTGGGATCACCAACGTGAGCCTAGGAAGAGAAACAGATACTGCAAGCAAAAAGAATTTTCACAGCCAAATGAAATTTTTTTGGTAAATAACAAGGATGTTAAACCACATTACTAAATGAAATTGCTATTTTATGAAAATATTTCTTGAATCAAGATTTACCAATCTTATTTTTCCCAAACTACTTCAGTACAAGTTTACATACAGTTTTAGATTCTTAAAGCTCAGTAGTTAAGACTGTGCAGAATAGCTCTACAGAGAAGTTTATATTTGTGTTATACTAAATGTGAGGTTGGAGGCTTCTAACACAATTTCTCCTCCTCTTAGAATAAAGCAATCTTTTATGCTACCTTTTTTATCTGCACAGATACTATATATACTTCTAAAGGAAATAAGCATAAATTTTAAACTGGATCAAAGATTTAGATATCTCTAGTATCTCAGTAATTAAAAAAAAATAACACAGAGAAACCATTTGAAAGACAATTGCTTTACATTAAATTGGTTTCACTTGTCAGACTCCCAATTCCGCAAACCTGGAAGATAAATTTACTCAGGAGTCAGTGAGTTTCACTGTGGGGAAATTATTTTAAAAAAGAAAAAAAAAAGAAAAAAAAAAAAAGAAAGAAAGCAGAAGTGGACATCGACCAGCACCTGTGTACGTACAGTACACCTTGCAGCCGAATGCAAGGTTACTTCATCCTATGGTAAAGGTCGCCCCCAGCCCGGTAGCCGGAGATGCCACTCTTTCTGCCCAGCTAACACCATTGTGCGCCTGTGTGCGAGTGGTGCCAGCATAACCTCAATCACACCAATATTGCTGCCACCACCTGTGACAGGGAAAGCAAGAAGCATATGGAAAACACACAGCCTAAAATAGCAATGTCAATATCTAGCTTTGTTCTTCCCACAATCTTTAAAGAACTAGGCTACATATTTTGTTCTAAATTTTCAACATTTGCAACTACCTTGTAAGCATACTTTTCAGCTAATTAAAAATGCATTTCACAATAGTCTCCCATCCCCCATTAACTAAAAATGTATTGTGATCAATGTATGTATTTGGACATTAGCCATTTTCATAAATTCCCAAAGCTAGCTTTAAAGATCTCTTTACACCAACTGGCAGACAACTAGGAGCTTATCAATAGACAAAATCATCTTTAAGAGTCATTCAATTAAGCTATCTGTAAGTATACTATGACAACTTCAAATTTCATCTATTATTCATTATAGGATACTTATGAGTGCTACTATTATTTCGTTTCTAAGTTACTCTTATTTTTCAGTTAAATGTCCAGGATCAAGTAGGACTCAAAACTTTAAATACAGCAAACTGGACAAAGAAATAAAACAGAGAAAATAATTAGCAAGAACTTATCTTAACATTTTAATTAATCTTTTCTATAGCATAAACTTCCTGTTATCTTAAAAAAAACACAACAACAAAAAGACAGACCCTCATTAAAGTATTATCTCTAAAAGCAATCCAACTTCTCACTTCACAATCAGTTACTATATTAATGTCCTTCATGCACATTCTTCCATTATGAAATAAAACATTTAATATACTCATGACACCGAGCAGACTTAATAGGATACTTAGATTGAAAATATGATTGTGCACACATTATTATAATCCAAGCAACAGTAAATGTACAAGAACTTTGATACATACTGCTTTACTGGCTCCAACCGAACACAGCATAGAAGAGTCAGGAGAGAATGCACAGTTGTAAACCCAGTTCTGATGTCCCCTCAATACTTTCATCATGTTTCCTGAACAAAACCAAAAAAAAAAAAAAAAAAAAAAAATTAATCCTAGAGTAGATTTCAATGAGAAGTATTAAAAAAATGGCAAGATATCATTCAATCAGACTTCTACAGCTTATATGGTCTATCTGGCACAGGTTCCCGGTCTATTAGAATACATCTGTACCTATTTATTTAGAGTCTATGGCTACTTTTGCACTACAAAGGCAGAGCTAAATATACAAAGACCACACAGTCCACAAACTAAAACATGTACACCCATTCAGCCCAATCTTACCAGTCAATAAAAAGAAATGGGAAAACATAGGGTTAGACTTGTTAAGTATCTCATACTCTTACTCCAATGCCCGAGTGCATTAGCTATCTTTCTCATTGGTTCAAGTCAGAACTGACTCATAGCTGACCCTTCACTGTGTTTCTGAGGCAGTAAACTGCACAGGAGACTGCATCTTTCTCCTGTGGAATCAATCGCTGGTAGCACCAAACCAGAAAGGTTTAGAAGCACCAAACCACCAGAAAGGCATGGCGCCTTCACATCAGTAGCACCAATGGGCTCTCCCACCAGAGAGCTCCCTGTGCATTACCCATAGCTGTTGTTAGGTGCCCTCACAACGACTCACAGCAACCCAATGAACAACAGATATAAACCTTGCTCTATCTTACACCATCCTGATACGCTCATGAGCCCATTGTGTCAATTCATATTGTTTAAAATTGTCTTCTCTTTCTCTGACCTTCCACCTTTCCCAGCATGGTGTCTGCAGCCACAGTATACATTTAAGAGAGAGAGAGAGAGAGAGATTGTGTGTGTGTATCCCAATTTCTCTAAATCTTGTAGAATCCTACTACATTCAATTTAAGCTCCATTACCTTAAGTAAACACTAGGTTAGGAATGTTAGAGCATCAACTGACCTCTTTTAGAGATAAAACTTTAGTTTTAAAGTATAAAATATTAGGGTAACCCTCAAACCTTTGCAAGTATCACAAATACCTTCCTACTGTCTTTGCTTCCCAGAATATTTATAGTGTCTTTTACTTTTCTTAGCATTACAACCTTTTTAAATTGTGGTATGTACATTCTGTTTTAATCTACTTCTGATGGCACTCTATTATCTTTTTATATTCTCAGTCTTCCTTAAATTTTATAAGCAAATGGAAGAAGTTAATACGAAGAAACTCTGGTGTAGCAGGCTAAAAGTGCTGCACTACTAATAATAAACTGTGTCTCTGGCAATTTGAATCTACCAGATGCTGTGAGGCAGAGAAGACAATCTCCTGTTCAGATTTACAACCTCAATAACTCAGTCACATAATGATAAATACTGCATTAAGACAACTACTGTGAAAAAAGGAGAATAACTGGGCAAGATATATAGAAATTTTGAAAAGGCAAAAGAGAAAGGAGGGCAGAAAAAAAAGGGGGGAACCAGTGGGATAGCAGAAATGGGAGGGTGATGGAATGGAAAGCGATCAATGGAGATTTGAATGCAAACCTTAAAAAAAAAAAGGCTTCTAACCTCAGAAACCTGATGGTCACTGTGAGTCAGAACTGACTCAACAGAAGTTAAGATAAATTAAAGATCAATTTTTGTAAAATGCTAAAACAGACCCAAATTTTGTTCTCAAATAGTTGACAAAGATCGACCCGTGTGGTTAATTTCTAAATAATATCAGATTGCTTAGAATAACTGCTAATTCCTACTCTGGGTCACATTTATGTTTTGGTTTGATCTGTATTTGGAAAAGGACCAAATGATTAAGTAGAGAAAATAACTTTGCTCATGTTCCACAAATCAGTATTTCAAATGACCCTCAGACTTCTTAAAAGCACTACCAAAGAACTAATCCTTTTTGATAGCCTAAGAAAAGAACATACCATCATCTTTTAGGTCCCAAACTCTCAAAGTTTTGTCTCTTGAAGCAGACACCAGGATCAAGCTCCCATCTGGAGCAAAAGTTAAATCTCTGACTACTTCGGTATGATCTACCAAATTAAGGAGGAGTTTTCCTAAATGCAACAGGAAAGGAAAAAAAAAAAGTCAATAGTTTACTTTTTAAGAATGGATCACTCATCACTAAAAAAAGAAAATACACAGAAATTGTTTGGTACACTCTTTAGCTTACAAACTATTAAATATTTGTTTAGATTCACTAGTTACATTGTTTTAAAATGGATTCTTCCAGTACAGCAAATACAAAAGTTATTAGAAATATTTAGAGAAATGCTGAAATGTAAACCAACTCCTGAGTCTTTTCTGAATCTTTGTATAGTGCAACTTTAAAACAAAGTATTTTGTATTGCTACTTATTCAAATTCCCAAAAGATACACATTATTCCACAACCTAAATCTCTTAACAACCTCAGTAACAAAGTGTACCTGAGCAGTCAAATACATTTTTGCTTTCAGGAAATTATCTATGTACTTTTATTTGCATTTGCTGACTCATCATCCCTACTGTTAATACACACTTGCTGCATTTCTGATGTATACATTTTAATTCTCAATTACTTCTTTTTTTTAGCACATACAATAATGTCAGAAACTACTTTAAGCATGAGAAATACTTTGGGAGGAGAGAAAGAAGGAAACGCTCATGTATTTTAGGTGACCGAGTACAAAACAAAATTAGTTTCTCATCCAACAATTCCTACAAATCATTCCATAACAATTTACAGGACTGGTTGCTAACTCAGCAATGTGTTAGCATTCTCTCCTTTTCTGTCCAATTTTCATACCCTTCCCTGACATCTTATTTTTGTTTCTGGACAACAGTAGTTTTTTGGTCTTACAGCTGACTGTTCTAAGGATTCCATTCCTTCAAATTTTACTTTACAGACCAATCTAGTTTTGTCTGTAAGATGACCACTGAGAGTGACTTCATGTTAAATGTTTCTTAGGGTGAGAGTCTCAGGGATTCCTCCAGTCTCTCTTTTTTAATAAATCTGAATTTTAGTCTACAATTTCTCTCCCATTCTAATCAGGGCCTTTTGTTTTCTTGGTCAGAAATGATGGTATTGAGGTCCTATCTTGGTTTTCTGGTCTTAAGCTAGAGGAAGTCTAATAGCTTCCCTGGCTTTTCTCTTTCATTTCAGGTGAAAAAGATCAATAATTGTACCTTAGATGGCCACTCACAGGCTTTTAAGATGACACACTCCTCACTAAAATAGAATGTAGAATATTTATGAATTTTTTTGTGATGGACCTAGAATTCCCCAAAGACTACGGTGTTCAATCTTCAAGCCTAGTATCTCACTCCATTCCACAAAGGGTTTAGATATTCCTAAGTTTCCTTAACTATGCCTCCTACATGATCTATTATATATACAAACATAGAACTATCTTGTTGAGGGATTTCTTTCTCTGACATCCTTCCTTTTCCAGTATGGTATCTTTTTCCAAAGACTGGTCACTCTTGAAATATGCCCAAAGTATGTGAGACAAAGTTAAGTAGCACTCTGGTTGCACTTTCTCCAAGACAGACTTTTGCTGTTTTTGGCAGTCCACAGATATTTAATACTCTCTCCCAACACCACAATTCAAAAGTACCAATTCTTGTGCCATCCTTATTCTTAACAAAATTTTCAGAAGCATAGGGAGCAACTGAAAATACCATGGTTTGGATCAGGCACATCTTAGTCTTTAAAACAGACACTTGTGATCTTTAGCACTTGGAGAGTGATAAAAATGTAAGGAGCTTTACAATTATGTTTCTACAAATGCCTACAATTATGCATATACATGCATGAGCATGTATCCCCATACTCCCTCGTATCGATACAGCATACATCTTGATTGTTATTGTGTTTAGCTGTCCAGAGATTTAATTAAGCTTTAGATCAAACACCACCACAACTTTCCAAATGTTAGATAAATGTTGAAATTAGGTTGCTTAGAAAATTCCTAAGCTATCAAATCACTGAAAATGTAAGCATATACCTTGCTATTTAAGCGAGAAAATGATTAATGATTAAGGGATGTTTAACTAAGTATTCCCTAAATATCCCCTTCTTGCTGTAATATTGTTTTAAGTGATCAAGTAGTATGAATAATAAAGGTATTTAAAACTATGAGTTGAACAAATGCTACATAGGCCAATTTAAAAGACACAGAATATCAATTCTTATTTTAAGTATGTTAAATAACTCAAATTATATATTCCTCTGTGAGCAGTGCTTAAAATCATAAAATAATCAAATCTGCTTTTAAAACTATGTCTGAGAAGAATCCATACCTGTATATACATCCCATATTTTGATTTGACCACTGTTTAAACCAGTGGCAAGGAGTAGCTGGTCTTGTCCAAATTTGAATCGATGCCATTCTATGTTTACACAGCGACTCTGTTTTTCTGGAACTGAAGACCCAAATGCCAGGCTCCAAACTATATCTCCACAGTCTATAATATGTTCACGAGGCTTGTTTTTCTGGCCACCATCACTATTTTGTCTTGACAATTTTAAACTGCTCGAATTGGTGACATTCTTGGTGCCATGTAAGAGACTGGGGGCAGAAGAAGATAGAAATTGAGCTATTATTTATTCTTGACTCCTACAGATATATAAGCAATTTTTATCATTATTTTTTTATTTGCTGGTTTCAACCTCACTCTTGAATACACTAAAACAGAGTAAAAAATCCAATAGATGAGAAGCTAAAAAGTTGCTATTTGGGTTATTAATATAAGGTAAAAAAAAAGCAATTTATAACTTAATCAATTCTCAGTTTCCCCAAGTATTTGACAAAAATCCCATACTTTATATAACAAATTATTTATGAATGTAAGTTTCAGGTTTACTAAATACCTATATATAGTAAAAAATGGTAAATGCCACAAACATACAAAATATAAAAGTGTCTTACAAGTTCTTATGGCACTGAGACCACGGAACAAGTTTCACTGTTCGATATCCTTGGGACCAAGCAAAGTAGGAACCATCTGGAGCAAAAGCAACAGTCCAATTTTCACGACCAAATTTCTTGTCAAAAGGAGCTGCTGGAGCTAAAAGTTCACCTATAGTACGTGATCTCACTGAAAGGAAAAATAATAATTATTAAAGAAAATACAGAGATCAACAATGAATGATATTACAGCCGTATTTGGGACTCATTCAATTGAGTGTCTCCTTTTTTAATGTATACAGAGCTCTGTTTATTTATGCTTTTAAGAAGATGTGCAGCAATCCTGAAGGCCCGCTGTTTGAGTCCACCAGCTGCTCCACTGGAGAAGGATCTTCCATGCGATTAACTGCTTCTGCAAACCCACACTACTGGAGGGTCGGCTATGGGTGGGTTGGTTCTGACTCGACAGCACACAACAAGGCAAGCAGAAGGTATGAAGAATCCTGACTGATAATGATCTCCTCAAGCTTTGGTAAAAGTAGTACTTTTAAGATGAAGTCAGATTTTGCACTTCATTATGTTTCATCAAATTACTAACCATTAAGAGACTAAAATTACTTTTTAGGGAGTTCTGGTGGCTAAGGAGATGCACTTCAAACCAGAAGGCATGCTGGTCAAATCCACCAGCTGCCCCTCGGGAGAAAGATGAGCAGTCTCCTCTATTACTTCTGAAAACTCGCTGGAGGGTCAGCTACAGTTTCAACTCATGGCACACAACAACGTTCATCAGTGCTTTAAAATATACTGTAATTATGATTCTTAAATAGTAATCCTTAGGTAACTAAGAGGTTACAACTGGTCTAAAAAAAAGAAAGGTAATTTTTTTTGGTTCTTAAGGGCAAATAATAAACAATTTCACACATTTTTAATTTAAGATTACATAAATTTAGTATTCATAACAAAAACTGACATCAGAATACATGGGAATTTTATTTCCACATTTAACAAGAAGCATGATTAATAAGCTCCTACTATACATGTGCCATAAAAAGTCAGCTAGAAGTCCCTCCATTTTAGAAAAGGAATCTTATATAATTTTGGCCTCTACTTTTTTTTTTATACATACTATAAAAGTATATGCGATCCTACCAAATATATTTATCTGGACAGATTGCCACTATCTGTTTAATATCTAGTATAGCACCTAGCATGACCAAAACCCAGTAAACTTTTTTATTGAATGAATACAAACACATAAGCCCAACATTCTTTAGGCTTCTAAATACATTGCTCGCTCAATTCTTCCTAACATTAACAAGTGAGCTATAGAGTCTGGAACCCATTTGACACTGAAAAAATTTTCCTTTTAATGACACAAAATTTTCCTCCCCATCGCTCTACCTATTCACCACAGTACTGACTTTAAAGTAATTCTCAGTATGATATTCCATCCTCAGATTTTCAATTATTCCTTTGGTTGTATACACATATATAGTTTAAAGTCCATTCACCATTTTCACCTCTATCACACTGTTGAGTAAACTGAGTCAATGGTCCTAGGACTGTGGCACTCAGACCTACACACAGTAACTCACATTTGGTTTAATTAAAGCAGTGTAGTCCTAAACATTTGTATTAGTAATTTTACTGCATGCTCCAAAGGGAGAAACATGGACAGCCTTCCTCCATTCCCGACTGCAATTTTACAGCCTTGGAAACCCAATGGAGGGTTGCTACAAAACAGAACAGAGAGCAGTGAGTTTGATTCTTCACACTTAAAAAAAAAAAAAAAATTTCATATGGAATAGATTCTTTTAAGTCTGTATTTTTTAACAATTTTTTTAAATTGTGATTTTAATGAACTTTCACAGAAAAGTTAGATTTTCATTCATTCATTGTTGCATTGTACCCCTTCTCCCTCAGTTCTCTTTTCTTTTTTAAAATATTTGTTCATTGTTGCAGTTACCTCCCTAACCCTCCTTTAAGTCTGTATTTTAAGGTAATCTAATATTTTTTACTTTGGCTATAAGAACAAAACCCCACTTATTTAGAAATTCACCTGGAAAACAGCAGTTACAGTGTCACATTTTTTTTTTAAAAAAAGCCTTGATGGTTTTTCTTTGCCTATAACCAGGCATACTAATGATTTCTAGACGCAAAGTCAATTGAAACCCTGAACGGTGCACAATATTGAAAACCTAGTACTAAGTGTTTTAAAGAAGGAAAAAGGACAAATATTTATTGTTACTATTTAAATTTATAATGTATTCATCCACATTCTATATATATAGTCTTCACTACATACAAAGGGTGCCTGTCATGAGAAAATCTGCCATAAAATATAATCTTACATTGGAACCTTTACAGAAGTAACATATCATCTGAGTCACTACAAAGTTAAGTTCTAGCCCCTTGGTTACATTCCTCCCTACATTTTCATAACCAGAAAGGGAGGTTCTGTGACTGTACCATGTGAAAAAAAGCAACGGCTCAAAGCAATGATCCCTTGTCACAGAGGTCTTCACTCAGTAATGGATCTTGTCTCGGTATGTACCTGAGAAACCAAACAGCTACCACCAACACTCAAAGTCTCTACTGATGAATACAGTGCACAGCATCCAAAAAGATACTTTTCAAAAAAAGCAACCAATGTTGGATTAAAAAAAAAAGTTCAGCAAAGGCCAAAGCTCTTTTAGTTAAGTGGCCCTAAGCAGTAACATTTTACTGCATACATACCATACCCACGTAGCAATGCTGAGATCTAAATATAGGGGGGATCCCCCCCTCAACACAAGGCTACTTTGTGAATGGCTCTTCCTTACTAAGCTACATTAAATAGAACTCTATTCATTCCTTACAGAAGAGGAATGGAAATGTTTTTTAAATGACTCATCAAGCTAGAGTAAAAAAACAGATAAATGAAAGATCCCTTATCTGTAATATCACTGTATGAGATAGGGGAGCAGAGAGGGGAGGATCTATCTGAGCAGGAAATAACTTGTGCATTTTATGATCCTTGACATAACTACTGGCCACAAAGTAGTTTTAAGTCTCCTCTTAAGCAGCCATTCCATTTTTTACCCCTGAGAGAACACACATCCAGCAATTTTCGATCTGACTATTCAGCCCCACTCCGGATGAAGGGCGTCTTGACTACTTCTGCTTCTCCCCTTCGAAGGCCTCCTTCCACCATAGTAGTAAAAGCATTTCTCCCGCTCAAGCTGAGAGGGGGATGCAGCAAACATGGCTCACTGGCCACATCACGTTTTTTCACGAGAACGTACGATTCACTGCATCCTCTTCCCCACCCCCACGCCCTCTTTAGAGCTGATCCAGTTCTTTTCTCTCCGTTCGCCCTTCAACCCGAGTGTTCCGCGAGGCAGCTGGCCTCGATCTTGACCCGCACGGCCCTCCCCGAGGTCGGGACGACAGCTTGCCTTCGGCCGCCCCACCTAACCTCCCCGAGCTCCTCCCACAAGAGCACCAAGATAACCGAGTCTCCTCCTCCGCGAACCCCATTACAGTTTTCAAATCGGAGGCTGCTGGCACCTCCTCCGTCCCATTTCTCATCCCTCCGTGTGCGGGGCCCCTGCACGGGAAGAACTCCCCGCGAAGCCCCAGTCGCGGCGCCAAGAGGTTCACATGATGCAGCGCTTGCGGGGACCTCAGAGATGAGGCTCCGGGGCGGAGCGCGCGCCCGGCCGCCCAGGACCCGGGAGCCGAGGCTGCGCCGGGCCCCGGACTCGCTCCCACCCAGCGCCCGGGAGACGCGCCGTCAGCAGTGAGCCCGGTCCCCTCCGTTCAAAAGCTTGGCCTCGCTCACCCCGCCTTCCCTCATCAGCCTCCTCCGGGGCATCCCTTCCACTCGGACGCCCCCGCGAGCCCCCGCGCCCGCCCGCAATGCGGAAACCTCGCCCCACTCCTCACCGATCTCTTTCTCGTTGACCCTCGGAGGAAAGCTGGCCATCTATGGGGCACCGTCTGATTCCGGGAACACAATGCAGACGCAGCGACAGAGAAGGGGACGACGAGCGCTGAGGGGCGTGACGCGAGCTCCGTCCCTCCCGATCCCGGGGACAGAGGGGAGGGGAGAGGGCGGTCACTAAGGGTTTCGGCCGACTGCCCCGGGGAAGCTCTGAAAGGCCTCGAACCACTCTACTGAGGTAAACACAGACAATACACCCAGGTCCCTGCTTCACATCCAAGGACCAAGACCACTACCCAAGAGTAGCTGCCCGCAAGCGAGACACTGGAAACAAAATGGCGGGAGGCGCTGCGCGGTTGATATCAGGGCCGTGTGGGCGGGGCCACGTGATGTTGATCTGAGGCCCCGCCTCCTTACGCACGGGACGTGACGGGCTTGCCGGCGCCTCGGGAGAGCCCGGGCGTTGTCCGAGGGGCCCGACGGGGGAGAGTGCGAGCAGGGGGAGGGGGAGGCGGAGCCGTAACCCCAATCCAGATAAACCAGACTACCGAGTAGGAGCCAAATCCTCGTGCATTGACCCTGATTTCGTTTTCCCGAGCCCCGATGAGATGAGGAGCCTTTGAAAAGGGTAAAGGATACACTCATTGGCAAATAAATACTCTGTTGTTTATAATTAGTTACAATAAAGACTTAAAACGATTAAAAATATATTCTCTCTTCGTTCTTGGAACCAGAACCAACTCAGCTGACCCTCCATTGGGTTCCTGAGGGTCTAAATCTCCCAGGAGGAGATTGCCCATCTTTATTCCGACTGGTGGGCTTGATCCTACAGAAAGGGATGGTCTTTGTGTTAGAATTGCAGCTCCCTAAGGGCGCCAGCAGTGAGCCATTAAAAAAAAAAAAAATTAGCTTGCCCCAAAACTGAAGTTCAACTGTTAAACGTAAACAACAATGAAAAAAACTTTAGATTTTGGCTTGTTTGGCTAGCTCCCTCATGCTGGAGAACTGGGTGTTGCATTGATTAGAATTCATGTCTTCACCACGTGCTGGAGTTAGCTGGTTTCAGGGAGGATGGAGGTGACCAGGTCTGGGGAACTTGGGCAAGATGGTGGGCTCTGCCTGGCCTGAGTTTGTCTTGTGTACTCCCTGCAGCCGTTAGAGTTAGGGCCTGGGACCACGATGTGTTCTGACCATTCACTAAGGTAGATCACACCGGATCAGGTCAAAAAAAGACCCTTGGTCCACTTGACATCCGTGTGGCATCTCCCAGAAAATTAAACTGGTTCCTGTTTACAGAACATAGTTGAATGGTTCCTTCCATGGACTGAAAACCTCATTCCAGGGGACTTCTAAAGCTGGGGATTCTAAATGTGACCATGGCAAAGAAGTTGGGTAGTCAAGTAGATCTCATGAAAACATGACATTTGTGCATTTTCTCCCGCCCCCTCCTGACCCTTTTGTTAGGGAGTTCTGACAACGACAAAGTTAAGAACCTGCACTATAACAGCAAAGGAATGCAGTTCAAATCCTGCAGCTGCTTCTCAAGAAAAGGGCTGGGCAATCTCCTCCCTTATGATTAACTGCAATCCTTCTGCAAAGCAGCTGACCTGGAGCTGCATGCCTTTGAGATTGCAGCACAGCTTCTTGCCACTAGGCCACCAGAGCGCCCTCCATAAACATTAGCCTAGGAAATCCCCTGAGGCATTTCTGGTTCTTTATCATCATGACCTGAGGGCACACAAAGGTGCCTGTTTACCTGTATCTTAACATTACAAATGAAAAGAAAATATCTATACTTGAGTGTCTACCTCTGCTATTTTTAAATGCAATTGTTTAATTTCACTTTTATTTTTTTTCCCTGCTCTCCAACAGACTTTTGGCCTATTTTCCCAACTTGCAGTTTATGACAATGCAATGAAAAAAGTTTTATTAACTATGTGCATATTCTGAAAACCTGCCGAAGGGTCAGCTATGTGTCAGTTCTGACTCAGTGGTACACAACAACATGTACATATTAATGATAATACCTAATGTTTAGTGGGTCCATGCATTTGTGTGTTAACCCATTTAATGCCCACGAAAGTATGAATAGTGTCTTAGTCATGTACACACTTTCAGAGAAAATAGTTGGTAACTTAACCACAGCCATTGAACTAGTTAGTGGTATGTGTTAAATTTGAATTCAGGTATGTCTGATTCCCCTGCCCTCCTTCTTTTCACAAATGAAACTTAGCTTGAAATGCAAATATACATTTTGTATATAAATTAGACTCGCGACTTTTGAGTTCATTTCAACTCACAGGGACCCTCCAGGACAGAGTAGTACTACCCCGCAAAGTTTCTAATGTTGTAATCTTTATGGAGGTCAACTGCTATATTTTCTCCTGAGGCATGGCTGGTGGGTTCGAACTGCTGGCCTTTGAATTAGCCAACCAATGCTTTAACTACTATGCTACTATTGTTGGTAAGTACCATCGAGTTGAGTACAACTCATAGCGACCCTATAAACAAAAGACCTGAATCCTGTTCTAGAACTATCATCCTTTCTCTAGACTGTGCTACTGTGTTGTTGTGTTGTGTACCATAGAGTCAGAACCACAAGGGAGATTACCCATCCTTCTCCCAGGAGCAGCTGGTGGCCTCAAATTGTGCTTTCCAGATTGCAGTGCAGCTTCTTGCCACTAGGTCACCAGTGCCTCTGTTGTTAAGTTCATGGAGTCATAGACGACTCATAGGACCCTATGAATGAAAGACCTGAACACTTCTATAACTTTCCTCGGTTCTCCAAGTTCATAGGGTTTCCGGAGGCAAGCTATTTCAGAAGTGGATGCCACTCCGGCTTCCAAGCTTGTTTTAATCGGGGAGCTCCACCAAACACTGTCCACCGTGTGTAACCATTATCACATTTGACACATCATTGTCACAGTGTTCAGCATCACAGCGCCACCACGAATTACCTCTGTACAGCAAATGGATAGACCAGTGCTATACCACTTAGAAGAATGTTTGACCAAAAACAATTAAAACTAGGCCTCCAGGGCCCCTTAATGTTATTTGTATGCATGTTTCATGCATGTTTGGTTTCATAAATTCATGTGTCATGTTTGTCATCTTGACATCATTACACACACCTATCTGGCCTTACTTGGGCTCATTGTCGCATCAAAGCTAAGCTTTTTCTTGGTTCTGTAATTGTTTCACAGCTTTTCTCTTCCACATTCTACTAGACTTATAGCAGCATTACTTTTAGGTTTAGCTCAGCTGTGTGTGTGTGAAGACTCAAGTCCAGGCCTGATCTTTCTCTTGGATTTATAACTCAGATATTCTAATACTTACAGTTAAACTCAACATGTCAAGACAGCACTTCATCTTCTACTCCAACTTATTCTACCTTTATTTCCTGCCCAGTTCCAAAAATCAGACCTCAGAGTCTTCTTAGGTTTCCCTTCTCCCAGAACCCCACGTTGGTTGAATCAATCCACAAACCCTGCCAGTATTTTCTGTTTTATCTCACCTGCCCTAGTTCAAGATCATGCTTGTCACTATTTTAATCACCCCACATCCTGAGAAACTGTCTTCAACACTTTGGGTTTATTTTCTTTTACTTTTCTTCTTTTATTATTATTATTAATTTTAATGAAAATTTGCAGAGACTTAGTATTTCCATTCATTCACTGTTGCACTTTTCTCCCTGCCCACCCCTCCCCCCTTCCCAATTCACTCTTCTCTTTGAAAAGTAAAAGAAAAATTCTTTCATTGTTATACAATCCCTCCCTCCTGGGTTTCTTTTCTTTCAATCTGTTTCAGTTTTCTAGTTGTGTGTCCTTACTAAAATTATTTCAGCTTTCTGTGTGTCAGTCTTCTCATCTATAAAATGGGGATGGTAAGAGCTCCTACTTCACAAGAGTTTTGAGGATATGTATTAATAAATATAAAGCATTACATAAATGTTAGATCCTATTTTTATATTTTATAATTGCAGCTAACTGCAACACTGGAAGATCAAAATCTCATGAAAAAAATTAGAAACTGGCCAAAAAGAAGCATTTGTTCAGTCTCACTCACTTATAGGAACTTGTTGTCTCAGTAGGGTTTCATACGCTGTACGTTACGGGAGAGGAGACCGCTCATTTTTCTCCTACAGAGCAGATGGTGAATTTGAACTGCCTGCCTTTGGTTTGGCAGCACGATTCCTTTAAAAAAAAGATGCAAAACTAAAACCATGCATTCAACTCAACTCACTGCAGTCGAGTCAGAATCGACTCATAGCTGACCCTCCAGCAGATTTTCAGAGACGATATATAAATCATATAGGAGATTGCTCATCTTTCTTCCACAGAGCAGCTGCAGCGAATGGATTCAAACTGTCTGCCTTTGGATTTGCAACACATCTTCTTAACCAGTTGGCCACCAGAGCTAAGAAAGAAAGAAAGAAAAAAAATAACCTAAACAAACCATTAAATAGATATAAAATTAAAATATTAAATGAAGTGTACTCATTTCTAAAACAAACTCACCCTACCCGTTAAAATCCTGTTTGAGCAGATAACCTTTCTCTTGAATTTCATCCTTGAGTCACCTAGAAAACATGACTGCTGTGTGGTTATCTGCTAAGATTAATTTACCTATAACTTGTTTCGTGGATATTATTTCCCCTGAACATTTTGAACCAATATTTACTCTTTGTAACTTAACTCTGTGTTTACGTTTCCTTTGTTTGATTTTTCTCACATCTGGGTAAAATGTGTTAACAGTTTGGCATTTTCACATAGTTGTACCTTTTTAAAGGGTGTTCGTTGGCACCATCTTGTACACTAAGAGGCAGTAAATACAGTCATACAAATATAAATAATTAGCACTTAGGAGTATGTTATAATATAAAACATTATGTCTTGTCTTTTCCTTTTGCTATCTAAAAACTATTATTATCCTATCCTGATAACAATTTTTTACATTCATCATCATAGGTAACTTTAACTTTACTCATAGATCAATATTTCCTTCCATCCCAGATTGCATAATATTTAATAGCACAGAAACAGGGATGCTTCCTGTAATTAATTTTTCATTACTCATCTGGACACTGTACTGTAGCTGTATGTCTCTGGACATCACTTATGGATGGATCAAGTCCATAATAGTGGCTCACCTTTTTTTATCTTTGTTGGAGAAAATCCACAGCCATTCTATAGTAGAGATATTTTAAGTAGGTTGCTGTGAGAAGATGTATCACACAGGTCTTTGAGTTTACGGACAAGCCTTTAAATAAGTTAG